TGGTAGGGAATAGGGTCATGAAGGCTCTCTTTACGAAGGACTTCGAGCTGTACAAGTGGGTGGTCAAACAGCTGGGGCTGAGGCTGATCAGGTTCAACTACATGGCCTTGAAAGATCCATCTAAGGTAGGCCGCTGTCGTCATAGTGATCGATATAATGGAGTTTTACCCGTCTCACGGGAAGCGGCGTAAAACTCGGTGAAAAACGCGATATTTGCGGTATGCAGTAGTCGTGAAATATGTTTTTCACGAGTGTTTTTTCTCCACATCACGGGTGAAACTCCAATAGTATATATTATTTATATGCAATATTCTACTACTTCTTGCGCAGCATCCATTCGAGCAGGCGAGTAATAGCCAGTATAGAGGTATAGCTGCAGGCTCAGTCGCTGCCTGAGCCTGCAGTATGAACCGGCAGACAGTGTGTTACACGGCAAGGAGTTCGGATGTATTATGGAATATATTATGTATATTTATATACAGCTATATCGATTGAAGGGTTATAGGGAATAATTCTCTATTAATAAGGCCTAATGTACTATATATGAATCGCGGAGTCTATCGTTGAGTTCAGACGGTGAACGCTGTAGCTGTTGATGGTGATAAAGTGAAGTGGATGCTACAGCAGAGGCTTTGGCGGCATCGCTATAGACCTCGCAATGTGAAGCATCCGCAGACGGGGAAGTTGGTGAGGTAGTAGGTCTATATGTAAGTCTTAGGAGTAGTTGGATTGTGTGTTATAAGGTACACTCGTCATCTCGTGAAGCCGCCACCGGCCAACTTTGGGAAGCCTGTGCCGGTACTACAACCTCGTTACGGATCCTGGGAGGACTATTTACATGCGCTTTCGAACGTTACGTTGTAGAATGTGGTGGTCTTCATCAGGTAAGGCAGCAGATCAGCAAGCGTTGGCCCTATGGGGTAACTCCAGAGAGGGTCAGTGGGACTTATACGGTGAGTAGATGTGAGCAGGCTCAGCTGGGAGGTCCTTACTAGGTGTACAACCCTACAGCGCCGGGCAGAGGCTTCGGTCAGCCATCTACTTCTGGGAGATGGACCGGTCGAGAGCGTCGGTGATGAGGGGCATCACGAACTGCATGAGAAAGTCGTTTCTGAGCCTTTGGGCTGGATAGCGTTTTCGCGGAAGGACGGAAATGTATTTGGTCGTGATGTTGTGTTTTGGACTTTGTGTTTTCCTCTTTAATCGTGATCAATGGCAAACGGTGGTGGTAGCAGTAGTGATAATAAGAAGGTCTTGCATGCGGCTGATGAGGCAGAGAGAGCGGCTAAGGAGAGGAGGCGTGTTATGGAGGAGAAGAAGCGGAAATTGGCAGCGGAGAAGGAATTGGTAATGGTCAGTGTTTTAATATATGTTTGGTTTCCTCAGCCGAGCTCGGAAGTTTCCTCACTGATTATTGAAGTTTACACACGAATTCTGGTGGAAGTGTGCAAAAACCAACGAGAAACTGCAGAAATTTCCTCAAATTTTCCATTTTGTCACTAACACATGTAACCGACTTTGTGCATATTTTTCCACACTGGTGATGGTACGGTAGATCATAGGAGGGGATGCTTCCCGTGTTTAGTCTGAGGAGGATCAGCAGTTGAAGAGCCTCCTCGAGAAGCAGGTTGAGATTATCACTGGAGGGTAGGTTGGGTGGCAGTGTGTATAGTGGACTGTGGAGTGGGGTCAGACTGGTGATGTTGA